GGGAGGGGGGAGGAGGGAGGAGGGGACGGGTATTTGTATACACAAGGAGTGCAATGCGCACCACCCGAAGGATGGACATATTTGAAACACGAACTTGGGGGGCGGGACCAAGGGCAACATACATAACCTAAACATCTGTACCCCCATAATATGCTGAAATAAAAAAAAAGAAAAAAAAAACAAAAAACAAAGTCCCTACTCTCAGAGATGTTGTAGAGTTGCCTTGCACAAATGCAAAGGAGCAACATATGAACAGGTACTTACTAATGCACTATAAACTGAGCAGATGTCTTGAAAACATTTTTGGGTGTGAGAATAGGCAGCAAAGTCTCAGAGAATTGGTTTTGAGATGCAGCAGGTGCTGGTAAACCACATGGATGTTTACCTTGGTAGTGCCCCATCATCTAGATGCACGTTAAACCATTGAGGAGCATAGCCAACCATCTCTCTTCGCATTACCATTACTACAAACTTGGGCCTAAGAGAAATTTACAGTGTACCTGAAAAGAATTATACAGCAGCTAGAGGAAACCACATATATGAGGTCTCTCTCTTGCTCTTTTCTTTGTTGTTGAGTTGTTGTATCACACTGTCTGTGAGAGGCTTGTGCTCTGAGCCTGCTGAGGGAGGGGCCAAGGGACTAACTGAGGGTGGTCACCTAAGAGAGATCCCTGGGCAGGTAGTCCATATGATGATGCCAAAATTTAGCAGTCACACTCACCTCCAAAGTGTGGCTCTGGTGGAGGTGGACAAGAGGGTTAAAATTGTTAGAAAGTTATCTGGGGGGGGAGAAGGGGAGCAAGGGCAACATACATAAGCTAAACATCTGTACCCCCATAATATGCTGAAATAAAAAAAAGAAGAAAGTTATCTTCAAGAGTATGTGAAAAAGTTGGGAATCTTTATCATTCAATTTGTAAGTTTTCTTAGGAGGATCCTCCTTTTCTCTTTGCATTCCTAATCATTCTTTATCTTGGGTAAAGATGTGGTAGAGATAAAAGTCTGAGTACCAGCTCTTGGGATCAGCAGGCTCTGATCCCACACCCAGCAGAGAGCTCCAATTGATTGGGAGGGCTCCCACCTCTTTAGGAGAGTTGAGACATTGTATCTCTTGGGCGATAGAAGAAATTTTTCATGTTTCTGTTAATTGACCTGGCTTGATTTTAATGACATATACTTTTAAAATGTGGGGCTGACAGAGACTCAGGAGGGCAGGTCTGTGACCCACCCCCAGCCCCTTGCAGCTCCCCTAGGGCTCAGGATTCTGACCACAGCCTAGTCACCTGTTGTATGCTACTGTTTTGCAGAGGGCCTGAGCTGCATGAACAAAGATCACGGCTGCAGTCACATCTGTAAGGAGGCCCCAAGGGGGAGCGTCGCCTGCGAGTGCAGACCTGGTTTTGAGCTGGCCAAGAACCAGAGAGACTGCATGTGTAAGTATGGACTGGCACATACCCATGATGGGAGCCGTCATACCCCAGAGCCGCCTTCTGTGGCCCAGCATCAGAAAAACCTCCACACAGCACAACAGCAGCAGCAGGGAAGGCAGCTGGCACGAGATTCTGACCTCCACCAAGTCCTTGTTCATTGCAGAAGGGTAGTCTCCCATAGGGAAGAAGGATATGTTAAAAGGAACTAATCACAAGGAAATGAAATTCAGGAATAAAGAGTGTGAATGTTGGGGCGCAGGTCTCCCTGTTCCCACAGAATAAAATCAGATTTCCTTGTCTGGCAACCACAGCTCTTTGCTCCCTGGCCCCTGCATCCTTGGTAAGCTTCATCTACCTCCTTTCCCCAACCACTAAGCTCTTTACCTTTCGGAGAACAGCCCATGTTCTTTGATGCCTCCAAGCTTTTTCCAAGTCCTCCTCCCTTCCTGGCTTGGGGAACTCTCACTCAACCTTCAGCATCCCACTTAACTTCTAACCAGGATAAAGATAATAGCTACCTTTTTTGAAGCATTTATTATGTGCAAAGGCTTGTAGCAAGATGGGCCATATCCCATTTCATTCTTGCAAGCACCACCCTCACCGCCACTTTGTTTATTCCTCAGTGATAGTGCATGATGCTCTGGGGTGGAACTGTGTATTTACGTGTCTGTCTCCCCAGCTGTGAGCCACTCCAAGTCAGAGACCTTGTCTCATTTTTGTCTCTCAGTCCTCCCCTGGTGCCTACCACAGGATGTGCTCAATACACATTTGTTAATGAATGGGCAAATGAATGTTATACATGATCTGGACACAGCTGCCACACCATGATTATAGTAACAAAGCTCCAATGGGTAATAGGAAACAACTGGCAATTAATGGTGTTCTAAATGCTACTAATGCCAGAGAGAACACTGAGAGTGTCCCTTTAGGAACTCTTCCCGAAGCCGTGGACAGAAGACCCCTGCAGTTTGCTAGGGATGGTTGTTTACAGAGAGTAGAACTTAGTGGTTAAGAGATGAGGAGGCAGTTTGACCAGTGACAGACTTCTCCCCATGTCTCCACCGCGAAGCAGAATGCAGCCCCACAGGCTGCCAGGCCAGGGCTGCTGCCACCACCACCCTCCAACAACAGGTTCTAAGGGCCCCTCAAAGTGAGGCTGTCCCCGAGGGCTTCCAGTGGACTGAGGAGAACGCAGACCCCTCATCCTGTCTCCAGATCTTCAAAAGGAGGACCCAGGCCCTCCCAGACTCACTGTGGAGTGAGACTCTGCATTTCACCGTCTTTCAGGGACTGATTGCTAGAGGCCGAGCACCTTTAAGCTTTTCTGTAAATATTTTAAATGTTTTTAAGATGACACTGCTCAAGTAATATTCTTGTAACATTTGAGGAATTAAAAAAGAAAAAGCAAGATCCAGAATCCTACCACATAACCCGCTGTTTCAAGTTTGTCATATTCCTATTTAGTTGTTCATATGCACGTACAATTTTTATGTAGCTATAATCACAGAACATTGCAAATATGTAATTAGTTCTTTTAAACTAGAAAAATTACAAAGGCCTATGAAAGAATTCAAACATGTAGTTTCCCCATCCCGTTTCCCTTGCAGAGGTAACCACTGTTAACAGTTTGATGAGTAGTTTCGTAGTTGGGTGTTTTTTTTTTTTTTGGCCTCTCATCAATGCATTCATCCATAGTCTTGATAATTACTGGTTAATGTCACATTAATTGTGTGCAGAGTCATCATTTCCTCTGATCATCCTCCCTTCTAACTAATCCAGATGGAATCTGATGGGAGAAATTCTAAGATATTTGTACAAATTAAATATTGTCTGTTTATTCCAGACATAAAGTACCTTAGCATTTCCCAAAGCCCCAGTATAGCTGTATTAATAGGCAAACTTCTCTAGATAGAGAAAAACAGTAGACCAGGATCTCTTGGTATAATTCCCCTTAAAAAATAAAAATTGCCCCAGACTCTATCATCTCCATGTTCCTATATGACTTCGTTCAAACCTGTGTTTCAGCATTTCTACAATTTGTATTGTGACTGTCTGCTCACACAGACCTGGACGGGGTCTGAATCAGAGTTATATTTTGTACACAATGCCTGGCATGTACTAGGTGCTCAAATACAGAATAAAAATCAGAGTTCCTCTGGAGCAATCATAGCCCTGGTTGTGGAAATCTCAGTGCTTTGCGTATTGATTCCTTTTGCTCTCAGTGACCTGTAACCATGGAAATGGCGGGTGCCAGCACTCCTGTGAAGATACAACTGATGGTCCTGAGTGTAGCTGTCATCCACACTATAGGATGCATGTAGATGGGAGGAGCTGCCTTGGTGAGTGGTGACCCCTACACTGGTGAGGGTCTGCCCCAACGTGCTCATCTCTAACCCTAACCATTAATGGTGCTTAGCACCAGGCACAGGCTGTTTTTGGTGCCTTTGTCCCCAAACAGTCCTCATGCTGCTGCACATGTTGCAGTGGTCTAGGTCTGGGGTGCAGGTCCTTCTCTTCCCGTGCAACCTTGGAAAGCCCTTCCTCCTCTCCTGTACTAGGCCGTCCTGAAGCTGGTATTCTGAAGACTGGGACAACACGTCCCAAGGGGCCAGGCATGAAGATAGAGCTAGCTGTTTGTGATGATGCAGCAACCTTTACGGCCAGCAGGAGCCAGGGTTGCATATTTCTGGCGGGATACCTGCCCTGCCCTTCACGATGTGTCCTTTGCTAGCTCCATTTTAGAGGTTTCCAAGCCCGAGGCTCTTTTTGTCCTGGACTAAGGGTACTGGAATGAATCTGAAGCTTGCATTCCCCAGTGTCTCTTGGAGTACAATATATTTCCAAAATCTTTTCCATAGTGTTAATGTTTCCTGAGGTTCTGTAGCCGTTTAACATGCTGTGTTTCCTACAGAGCCTTATTACAATACATTTTTGTTGAGTGAACAGAGACACATATCTTACCTTGTTCTCCTGTGCAGGATTTTAACAGAAATGGTTGTGCAGGGGATAAATAATTTGACTCATTCCGTCTGAGAACTGTGCTGTTTTGCTTTTCTTGTAGAGCGAGAAGACACTGCCCTGGAGATGGCAGAGAGCAATGCCACATCTGTGGCAGATGGGGATAAGCGGGTGAAGCGGCGGCTGCTCATGGGTAGGTGACTCCACTGCCCTCCCCTGGCCACTGCCCTTGTCCCTTCCCTCCCCAACTTTCCTCATCAGGCCTGAACCTGGGGGTCACATGTCCTCAGAGCAGCTGGACCAGTGAGCAGCTCCTGCAAAGCCAGATGTGTGTTTGTTCTTCACTCACTGCTGTTGCTTAATTACCACCCAAGATCCCTGGTACTGTGGGAAGTGCACCAGCCAAGCTGTCAGAATAATTGGGTTCATATCCTAACACAGTCCCGACTTCCTGTAAGACTGGGCAAACTGCCCTGAGCCTTCATCTCTTGGTCTTTCTTTAAAATGGATGTAATAAAATCTACCTCTTAGGGCTATCAGGTTGCTCAGTTAAGATAATGATATGCAAAAGTGCCCAGAGTCCAGTGCCTGGGACTGGGTGGATGGTCAGTGAGTGTCAGCTCCCTTCCTTCTGAGTAGCTCGAATGAGAGAGGACTCTGGCAGCCACTAGCTCAGCATGGTGGATGATCTGTTTTTGAGTCTACTGAGTCTCCTATTTCTGACTCAGCCGTGTTCATGGTAGAGGAGATGAATGGAGAGGAGGGGCACTTGCCTGTGGGACGAGGGAAGGCCTGCCTGCCGGTGTGACAGGTGAGCTGGAGATGAGAAGCAGAGGCGGTGGCCATGGGGTGGGAGTCAGACAGATCCTTGGGCACATTACTCTTCTGGAGAAATGTTGACTCCACCTAAACAAATCCGTCTTTTGACAGCTTCTGGCTTTAATAGTCAGGTAAGATCATTTGTTACCAGCCATTGGTTACCAAGCAGGTAACATTTCAGTTCTCCTAGTTGTTTCTTCTTCTACCTCCTCCTCCTTCCCCATGATTCTGAAAAATGAAGTGTGTACAGTTATTTCTTGATGTGTCAGTTTTGGATAGTGGCTTTTGACTTCCTGCTGCAGAAGACTAGGTTTTAACTCTCACTGCCTCCCTCCCTCAACACACACATGTCTCCCACACCCTTAGTATAGCTGTATCACAATTTATTTATTTATTTATTTATTTATTTATTTATTTTATTTATTTTTTTTTTTGAGACAGAGTCTCACTGTGTTGCCCGGGCTAGAGTGCCGTGGCATCAGCCTAGCTCACAACAACCTCAAATTCCTGGGCTCAAGCGATCCTCCTGCCTCAGCCTCCCGACCGAGTAGCTGGGACTACAGGCATGTGCCACCATGCCCGGCTATTTTCTTTGTATATTTTTAGTTGTCCAGATCATTTCTTTCTATTTTTAGTAGAGACGGATCTCGCTCATTGCTCAGGCTGGTCTCGAACCCCTGAGCTCAAACGATCCGTCCGCCTCGGCCCCCCAGGGTGCTAGGATTACAGACGTGAGCCACCACGCCTGGCCTGTATTACAGTTTAAATCAATATTATGTGCTTACATTATTGCAACTATGAATATGTAAATATGATTCACCCAAGTCATGTAATGCATCATGATTTTATTTTCTTTGTCTACTTTTCTAAGTACTTCTTACCAATTCTTTTGCAAATTTCTAATAGAGCTCTAAAATAGAGCTTTTCAATGTGTTCAAATACAGCAGGTGATTTATCAATTCAATTTTCTTCCTTAAAAGGTCTTTTCAAAGGCTTCCACCCTGCTATAGCAGGGCCTGACCCTCTTGGCTGGCTGTGTTTCTCTCCTGTGGGCCTTCCCCATCAGCCTAAAAATTCCCGTCACCACTCTTCATTTGGTGGACCTCATATCTTGTCTTTTGTTAGTTTACACAGTGAATCAGATGTAGGTTTTTTAAAAACTTTGCATGCTGAAAATGCATTGATATTCTACCTTCACCCTTTATTGAGAATCTGGCTCAGTATAGACTTCAGAGTTGGGAAGAATATTCCTCCAGAGTTTTAAAGTTAGTGCTCCATTGGTTTCAAGCATGCAGTATTGTTTTCAGAAGCCTACAGTCATCTTTATTCTTGATCCTTTGTATGAAACCTGAAAAGCTTCTCTCTGGAAGTTTTCAGGATCTTCTTGTCCCTGGTGATCTGAAATGTCACAATAAGGTCCCTCACTATGAGACTTTGCCCACCTGGTGTGCCGAATACTCAGTAGGCCTTTTCAATGTGGACGTTCAAGTTCCTTGGTTCTGGGAAATGTTCTTACATTTTTCCCTTTGATTTGGCATTTCTTCACGCCGTTTTCTCTGTTCTTTCTCTCTGGAACTCCTGTCAGTTGGTTGTTGCAATTCTTAAATTGATCCTCTAATTTTCTTTCTCTTTTCTTTGTATTTTTGGTGTACTTTCTAGATTTTTCATTTTTTTCTTCTACTCTTTCTACGGGATTATTTTTAAAGTTCTGCTTTTATATTTTAATTTTTCAAGAATTTTAGTTTGGTCTGTTGTTATAGAAACCTGCTCTTATTTCATGGATTCTTTTCTTCTCCCTGAGGAAATTAATTATAAGATTTTAACTTCTCTTTTTTTCCTTATATTATCTTCCCCTCCTTTGTGTTTTTTCCCCGTTTGTTTGATTTGGTATATTTATTTCGTATTAGAAACTTTCCAAAAATGTCTAGTAATTCTTGACTGACTTTTCATATTTAATAGTGAAATGCTAAAAAGCCAATTGGATATTCTATTAACTGACGGGCTTCATGAGTGGGTGACTAGGAGGTGACTTAGCCATTTTATTTGGGGATCCTCAAATGCCATTATCTATAGGTCTTTTCACTTGGGCAGGTCAATTTAGCTGAAGAGGAATCCTTCAATCTCCTTCAGTCTCATGCAGCTTAGCTGCCAGCACTCTGGGAGCTGAGGGGCTGGGAGAAGAGTGGGAGGGTGGTGAGGGTTTGGGTTCTCTCTTTTCTGGATATAGACTTTCACTGGACAGTGCCTTCCTCTCTTCTGCTTTTCCTGGTGCCCTTGAGTCTGGTGCCTCTCTGGTCCAACTTCTCCAGAAGATAAACTTCTCTGATGTGGCTGGAATAGGGCAGGGGTAGTCATGTGGCTGTGACTTAAGGAGGAGCTCTGGGGGTTTAACTGTTTCTTGTATAGACTCTCAAATAATCTTCCTATTTTTAACTCCATCCTCATCTCTGCCTCTAGAGTAACTTGATACCTCCAATCCCTGGGCCTTTCTGGGATTCTGTGGCTCACGTGAGTTACCACTTGTTGGCTCTCCGTCTGTAGACCACGAGGGTTCGGCTTTCTGCTGTGCCAGTCACTGCTGCTCCACTGACATGCCACTTCCAGCATATTTGACATCTTTCATCTGTTGTCTTTTCTTCCATTTTCTTTGTCCTTAAGGATTTATACTTTAAAAAAAATCTATTCTTATTTTGGTGAGGTTTTGAAAGGAAACAGATAAACATACATCTTCTCTCTGTCATATTTAATTAGAACTAGGCTTGTCCCCCCAGGCTTTTAAATGAAGTAGCTATGGAAGAAAAAAAAATCATGTTTCTGGATACCTAGGTGCGAACAATTGAATGAATGTTGACTAGCATGTGTCTATTACTTGGAATAACTGTATGAAATGCAGAACTAAAAGCCATTTGCTTATCGTTCCTCATCTCCGTAGCTGTGATTTAACAACTGTGGCTTATTTTTCATGCAGTTATGACAGGCCTTTCTCCTTTCAGGGAAAGTTAAACTTCTAATTTGAGTAAATTGGCATTTGCAAAGATGAAGTCATTAGTCTGCACCAAGGAAATTGTTGGGGTGGGCAACATTTACCCTCTTGCTTTGTCCATTACTTACATTCAAAGGAGAAGGTTCCGGATTATGAAAGGAACATTATCTCTTTTTGCCCTATTCTGCACTCACACCTTACCTGCCAGATACAGTCACACTTAGCAGGTTGCTGGCTGTGGATCAGCAGGTACTTTTTTTTTTTTTTATTTCAGCATATTATGGGGGAGCAGGTACTTTTAATGGCTTTGAATCCACTAGTGGGGGTTGGCTCTGCAGGCTAGGAGACATCTTTACCTCTTTACCCTGACAAGCTTCCTCAGAAAATATCACTCATTTAGATGGGTGGGAGGGGCTGCACCTGCTCTCCCTCTATCCCACCTGCAGAAGGCGGAGACTTGGGGTGTGATCATGGGTACCCCACCATGCTTCTTGGCTTCCATGAACTTGCCAAATAATAACAGCCGTATCAGCACTTCTTTAGGAAGCTAACTGCCTTTTCTTACCTCCTTGTCAGAAACATGTGCTGTCAACAATGGAGGCTGTGATCGCACCTGTAAGGACACTTCAACAGGAGTTCACTGCAGTTGTCCCATTGGATTCACTCTGCAGTTGGATGGAAAGACGTGTAAAGGTAGCCTTTGCCTCTTCAAGGAGGCTGGGTGCCCTGGTATGGGGGGAAGCCCCATGCTGCTGAAGTGTGGGGATAAAGGCAGCTCTTCCCCTCCACACCCCAAGTGACTCCAGATTTGCTTATGATTCATATTGATGGAAGCTTTTCTTCCCTGGGCTAGTGGAAGGTTATAATTGAGTAAGCTTAATTAGAACCAACTTAATTACACTAATTGTTGAGGAGGTCAGCCTCTACAAGCATCAAATAATTCATTTCAGACAGTGGCCTTATTAGAAAAAGGCAGTTCAAGGAAGCATTCATTTGCAGGAGATAATATCAACATATCATAAATAATAGCCTAGGGATTATTATGTAAAAAACAGTCAAGATTATTATCTAGAGGACTTAATGAATAACTGTACCATTAACTTTTACTGATGAAGAGAGACCCCAATGACTTGCTAGTATTTCATGGGCAAGAGTACAAAGGATGAGTTCTTTAGCATGATAAAAAGTAGATAACCAATTACCAGACGAAACTGAGAAGAGATAAGCTTGAGTATCAGGAATAATTTAAAAACATTGAGACTATTTGATCATTGTGTAATTTGCCAAAACAAGTGCTCCAGTTCCTTACAACTTTAATCATTAAACTAGACTAAGTAGTATACTAAAGGGAGCCATGTTTTCTTGAGAGAGCAATACAAGGATTAGAATATAACAGGACCTCACCATTCTTTCCTCCAGTTTGTTTTCTTAGGGCTAGTCAAGGGCATCATAAGTCTAAGTTCTCAAGAGGATGAGGCACTTGTCTTTCAAAACTGGTTAAGCCAGACAAGAAAACATGTATAAGATTAAAAACATCAGCAAGCATTCTTAAATGCTTTTATGGGTCTGTTTTTATTTCAGGGAATAATGAACACTCATAATAGCACCTCAGGGATTTGTGGGAAATGAGGCAAGTGTTCCTCTCTGATTTGCCGATGCTTGCCTGTTACAGATATTGATGAGTGCCAGACCCGCAATGGAGGTTGTGATCATTTCTGCAAAAACACCGTGGGCAGTTTTGACTGCAGCTGCAAAAAAGGATTTAAATTATTAACAGATGAGAAGTCTTGCCAAGGTATGTGCTGAAAGCGTAGCTGTGCTGTGCAATGGTCCGCTGGTTGGAGCAGAGAACATGTAGCCCCACCCTGGCAGAGACTGGCTCTCCAGGCTTCTTGAGTAGTGACAGAGCCACTACTCCAACCTCCATTGCAGCCTTCATTTATTTCATCTGTTAGGTAGAATAAAAACACTGATGTGGCTCACAGGTATATTTTGGAAATTAAGCTGTTAGCGATTAGAGAACACCTCAAAGAACCCATCCGGTGTGATTATAGCAGAGCTTGCTGCTAGAAATGGAATGGAACACAGAATGCAAACAGGGTTGCACTGGGGTGTTGAGATTAGGAATCATTTTCCTTTTCTAAAATTGCCTTTAATATTATAGAATTTATAACAAAAGTTACAAATTAAAAGCAAAAATGTATAGATTTAGTTAACATGCCTTCCTTGCAAAAAGTTGAGGCCAATACATAATCAAGATCATGTACCAGTTGGCCTCTTCCTTATAGACCTTGTTTTAAATGAGCAGCCTTTGGTGCTTGTGGAAAGGGAGAAGATGCTGGCTGATCCTTAAGCAGGATTACAAACCCCTTCTCGAACGCACCTTTCCCATATAAGGGGTGCAGCAAGGAGACTTCTCTAGGTTGCAGTTGTTGTTGGTATTAATAACTGTTTGGGGTGGCGGGAAGCTGTTTTTGAGTGGAAAGCATTATTTATTACTTTTAGATAAACACCTTTTTTTTTTTTTTTGAGACAGAGTCTCACTCTTTTGCCCAGGCTAGAGTGAGTGCCGTGGCGTCAATCTAGCTCACAGCAACCTTAAACTCCTGGGCTCAAGTGATCCTTCTGCCTCAGCCTCCTGAGTAGCTAGGACTACAGGCATGCGCCACCATGCCCAGCTAAATTTTTCTATATATTTTTAGTTGGACGATTAATTTCTTTCTAGTTTTTAGTAGAGACGGGGGTCTCACTCTTGCTCAGGCTGGCTTCAAACTCCTGAGCTCAAACAATCCGCCCACCTCGGCCTCCCAGAGTGCTAGGATTACAGGCGTGAGCCACCGCGCCCGGCCAACACCTTTTTTTAATGTCCTGTTGATAAGCAGGAAGAAGCTCTCAGTAAAGATGTGCCATCATTTATTCTTGCTCCATTTCTGTAAATAAAGAATGATTGTCTAACTTATTTGTTAGAAATCTCAGAATTAATAAAAATCAGAATATAATATCTGATTTCATCAGATAAAAAAGATGTAAAATTACCTCTTTTTTAAAAACTTTATGGTGTGAATTAGGTTTTTTTCCTCTCTTGGTTTGTTCTTCTCAATACATAATTTGTCAGGCAGTTCAAGTATGTTCTCCTTTAAATTCAGTAAATTAATTCTAGATGATTATTGTGTGGAAATAATAATTTCTTCAGTTTGACTTGGAAAGCAAATTTGCTGTTCCACATAATGTTTCACAATGTATAGAGCAAGCAAGACTGTTGAAGCTGTGTAAACACATTAAAAAAGGAATTAGGAAAGTGATCTCATTATTTTTGGCAAAGCAAAAGCCCATAGTGAGTCGCCAAAGTCAGCTACTGAACAAGTCCACTTTCTCGACAACTGGCTGATAGCAATAACAGATTTCAGAGAATGGCATCAGTTACTAGGAAGGAAACTGACTTTTTCTCATTTTTCACCCATCAGTCTTGGTAGAACAAATATTTGCACAGAACAAATTTATTGAAGAAGTTGCCAGGATTTCTGGGAAAAGCCAGGGATGAAGAAGTTTTGCAAGAATTTTCCCTTTTTATTTCACTTTTTCATTCCTCCTGTTCCTTCCGAATGTTTGTTTTTTATTAATGTAGTTTCTCCTGGCACACTTGGTGTTGAAAAAGTGGTCTAGCAATGGTCTAGTTGGCTTCCACCAAGTGCTATGTTGGTTTATCCATTTGGAGACATGAGTCGTAACTCTGTTAAAACCCTTCAAAGTTGAGAGAGTGAAGCACTTACATTCTAGGCTACAGGAAAGATGTGAGGGCCAAGCCAGGGAAGAGGGAGATGATTAGACAGACAAATGCAGCCTCCTGAGGCTAGTTTGCATGACCCCAGCTGCAGCCAAGGAGGCTTTCACACTGAACCAGGAAGACAGGGGACACGTGGGACTGGACTACGGGGGAAGAACGAAACCAGGGATTGGCCAAGAGGATCCAATTCAGAGCTTAACCACCAAATTACAGTGTCTGCAATAGAAATCTACAGAGGATATTAGTGTTAGTGCATTCTTTTAGGGCAGAGAGCATTAAAATCCAGGATTAACTGGCCTCTTGGGGCCAGAAGACTAATTTTGGAAAGATCAGAGAAAGATGGGAACCAGATTTACCTCCAAACCAAGTGTTTTCTCCTTTCAACTCACCATAGCTCATAAATTACTGATGTTTTACCAATGGTAATATCACAATAATAATAATGCACAACTACCATTTTATAGTGTATAAAACCCTTTTTAGGTATGTTATCTCATTTGGCTTCATTTAAATATTTTAAATTACTCAGCCCTACAAATAAGCATGGTGAGAGACCAGTTGAGCTCTGAGGCAAGTGTAGCTTGCAACAGAATGTGGAAATAAGGGCCCTGGCGTGACTATACTTAGGATGGGCTGCTCAACACCTTCCTTAACACAAGTGAGAGAGGAGAATGGATAGGTCATTTTTCACCCTGTGTGTGTCACTTTTGGTATTGGTCAGCAACTGGTGTTTATTATAAACCTATTCTTCCCTTATCCCTCAGAGTGGGTTTCAGCTCCCTCTCCCTTTGACAATTACAGATGTGGATGAGTGCTCTTTGGATAGGACCTGTGACCACAGCTGCATCAACCACCCTGGCACATTTGCTTGCACTTGCAACCAAGGGTACACACTGTACGGCTTCACCCACTGTGGAGGTGAGCAGACAGCCCCACTACAGTTGAGAGGTGGGGTGCTGCAGGGCCTCCACCCCTGAGGTTTATTTTCTTGCCTCGGGGGATGAAAGGTACATTCCAGTCCCTGTAAAACAGCAGTGAGTCCATCAACTCAAGGGAAGCATCTACAAAAGGAAACCTCCCCACAGTTATCCCTTTGACATGTCGAGTGTGAAATGGAGCAGAGAGGAGCTGAGCTCTTTCAGCTGTGGATTCCTTATTGACTTTATTGACTTGTGGTTGTATTCAGAGGATGGGAGGGTCTCTCAGGAGCTGCTACCCTGTCTGTTGGAACTTCCCAGCAGATAGTAAAGTTGCAGTCCTCAGAGAGGCTTGGCGGGACACCAACCAATTCCACAGCCTGCTGTGCATAGCAACTGGCTGCAAAACCTTGGTTTGAGCCCCACAATTGGGTCTTTGAGCTGCAAGTGGAACCAGTGAGTTTATCTCTCCACTCTGTGCCCATTTAGCAACATGTTCTCATGTCTCATAACCTCATGATCAAGCAGGGAATGGCATAAAATCAGATTTGGTGCCAACTGACTTCCACTTCACTCTCCACAGCAATCTTTGAGAATACAGGTTCAGATTCCAATCCAGAATGTCTAGAGCTTTCAAGGTAATCTTCCTGAGCATCTGCAGGATGTTGGAACCACCAGCCTAAATACTTCCTGCCTAGTCCTTGTGTTTTGTGCCTAAGAAGAATGGACAGCAGTGATTTGCTATAGATAATGTTGTCTCCCTTCTCCTTTTCAATACATCCTTGGCATGGCTAAAAGCATACTCTTCCCAGTACATCAAGAAACCTCAAGGAAATGTACCCCGAGTAAGGATGTGTGTCTGGGTTTAGATGGAGCCACCTTTCCACCTGGACTCAGTCTCGGGTTGATGGGGAATAGAGCACACCACTTTCCTTCTCTGTACCTCAACTGTGAAAGTGGTTAAACAGGGAGACCTAGTTCTCTGTCTTCCTTGGTGGGTAGTCCAGGAGAATGGTGGAGTTTTAAAGCCTGTGCAGTGTCCAAGTTTGGACATCTGAAAGTAGCGTGTGGCCTTTTCTGAGTATCCCTAATGAGGGAATGGTTTGGTCAAGAATGGAACTTGAGATGGCCCCGGTGAGGCTCATACCAGGAAATTCACTGGGTGGGGAGTGGGGTGTGGAGTCCGCTGGTGCCAAGTGCACATCCTGACGGCAGTCAGCACCTTCCCTGTGCTTAGTGAGTTTCAACCATGTGACTCCCCTGTGGCTCCTTCCTAAAGGGAGGGACAGTATCAGCCCATTCAGTGACAGGCTGTTGTGATAGGAGTGTTTTTTTCTTCCACAGACACCAACGAGTGCAGTGTCAACAATGGAGGCTGTCAGCAGATCTGTGTGAACACAGTGGGAGGCTACGAATGCCAGTGCCACCCCGGCTACAAGCTCCACTGGAACAAAAAAGACTGTGTGGGTAAGGGCCACTGAGGCGCAGACTCGGTCGGTGGGGCCTGCCACTGGCCCAGAGGCAGCGTGGCTCTGTGTGTGCTCCCAGGCCCGATTGGCCCAGGAGCGCGCTGACCGTCCCTCCACTGAATTCTCCTTCCCTCAGCTGCAGCAGCTGTTCTTTACATAGTTCAAAAACAGGAGATACTTTGCAGGCTCTGGTGTTTCCTTCTGTGCTTCTGCGTAGGTTGGAACTGACTTCTGTTTTCCTGGTTGCTTTTCTGCATTAAAACAATGGCAAAGAAGGGTCTCCTTTACCTCGGTGGGAAATGAGGCCTGGTGTGTGTTCTGTGCGGGGCGTCAGCTGTACCTTCTTTTCTTGGGGCCTTTGGTGCATGGTACTCACCCATCCTTGTCACATTTGGATTCATCCTTCTCTTTCTGTAAGTGTCTGTGTTTTGTCCTGTCTAGAAGTGAAGGGGCTCCTGCCCGCTAGTGTGTCACCCCACGTATCCCTGCATTGCGGTAAGAGTGGTGGAGGAGACAGGTGCTTCCTAAGATGTCACTCTGGCATTCACCTCTCTTCAGGTGAGTGGGGCCCAGATCCCAGGGCAGGTCCTCATGCCAGGGCCAGGCCTCCCTGGCCTCTAAGTGTTAGACTCCCCCAAAGGGCTTCTAGGTCCTTGACCAGATGTCCCCTGACCACCGTGCTTTGAGAGGTCTGTGCTTCGAGACCCCTTATGCTAGGCATTTTTCCAGTGGCTCATGCGGAGTGGGGATGGAGGGTGATTATAGCTGCTACCTGGATAGTCTGTAACCTTGCTTACATGTTTGACAACCCACATTCTGTCTGTCAGGACTGCAAGAGGCCTACTCTGTCACCTGCGGCTCCTCTGCTCTCAGGAACAAACAGCAAAAATCAAATGACTCTGCTTTTGGGGGTAATTACCAAATCCGTGTGTTCTCTCTGGGTCTCTCTGTGTTCAGCGGGCTTTATTCATGAGGCGCTCTTCTTGGATGTTGGCTTTATTTTCTTTTCTCTTAATCTCCATGCTGTGAGCATGTTACAGAGTATTCTTGCCTGCAGCTCTGGTGCTTGAAATCTGACTCACCCATGTAACAGATATTTACTGAGTGTCCACTCTGTGCTAGGAGTGGGTCTGGTGGGCCAGGTAGGTCATCATACTGGGCAGAGGCCCACAGAACTCAGGTCTCCCAGACTCCCTGTGCTCCAGAGCACCTCAAAGGCCCAGTGGGGAATGTGCCCCACACGTGGTGTGGATGGAAATAGGCCTGGGCAGAACAGGGGCAGCAGAAATTCTGTCCTGAGAAAGGAGCACAAACTCTTTCTTGTTTGTCAAAAGACGAAGAATAAAATCTGAAGTTTTCAGGAGGCCTTGCCCTCCCAGATGTAGACACTTTTGTCATTATGTTCTGAGAACATCTGAATGAGGTCTATATTACATCTTGATGTCCAAATTACATATACGAGCAAAGCTGGAGACCCAAAGCAGGACAGTAACAGCTTGCATGTATTGATTGAGCTGCTCAAATATGCCGGCCATCATATTACACGTATTAGCTGATTTAAGCCATACTACAACCCTCTGGGTAAATTTCACTATTATCCTCATTAATCGTATGAAGAAACTGAGGCTCAGAGAGATGAAATAACTTACCCAAAGAGACTTAGATAAAAAATAGAGGAGCCAGGATTTGAACCCAGAAAGTGTGGGTCCAGAGCCTTTAAGTGCTGTCCCTCACTGCCCCTTTTGTCAGAAGTTTGGACTCAGCCAGAGCAGACATCATGGTCTGTTTCACCACATCCCTCAGTGATGGTTCCTTGGCGATTGAGGCCACCACAAGGATGGGCAAACAAATAACTAACAGTTATTCAGTTCTTACTGTGCACCAGGCAGTAGGCCAAACGTTTTTCTTTTCTTTTTTTTTTTTTTTTGTTTTCTTTTTTTGCATTATCTCATTTACTCCTTACAACAGCCTGGTTAATGTAGGTACTGTAATTATGTCTGTTTTACAGATGAGGAAACTGAGGCTTAGGGAGATTAAGTAACTTGCTTAAGTTCTCACTATAAGTCAAAGAGCTGGAATTTGAATCTAGGCCACTGACACCAGAGCCTAATATATAATTAAGACTGACACTGGAAGGAGAACAGAATTTTGTGCATCAGGCCCTCAAAGTGGGACCCTTGCTCCCTCCCAGAAATCCACGTTTAGTGAGCACTGTCTTTGTCTGGAGTGGCGGCTGCCTTCGCCCTGTCCTCTCAGGACAGGCTCATTCAGGAGCGTCCACCCCTCACCATTTCCCTCAACAGTCCTATCCAAATTCGACCTGGGGGATTCTCACCTTCTTTCTCAGAAAGGCACAAAAATGGCCTCATCTTTCATCTCACTGTTGAGGCTATTTTTGAGCCTCTCTTTGTTACATTTCAACACTGCATTTATCTCTCATGTGTGGGGAAAAGCGTGATTCTTAGGAGGCTCCTGGTCCCCCAGTCCAGGGTGATGGGCACTCCGTGATCCAACCTTTCTTGGTCTCAGGGTAAGAGAGGGGCTTGGGGCGTGCAGTGTGTGGTAGGAGCCACCAACGGATAGCTCCCCGTTACCCTCCTGGTGTTTGCATTCCTTTGCCTCTGAAGGTAATATCTCTCACTTGTTTCTTTCTGAAGATGTCGCCACCATCAGGACAAGTGTAACCTTTAAGCTAAATGAAGGCAAGTGTAGTTTGAAAAAGGCTGAGCTGTTTCCCGAGGGTCTGCGACCAGCACTACCAGGTATGAAATCAGACAGCTGGTGCAGGGAGCTTGCCTGCATGTTGGGATGCTGGAGGCCCGCGGGGGGCCAGGGGCTGTCCTGAGGATCCAGGCATGCTTCAGGTGGGATTGAACCATTCATAACCTCCAGGGACTCTCATCCCAAGAGGAAAAGGAGCCTCACCTAGCACCCCTGTGTAGTTTTAGGGTTACACTTTGGGGCTTCCTTTGCGAGGTACAGTTGGTGAGGCCCTGGGGAAACCTGTGAGTTCATAGGCATTAATAAGGGCTTAAGATGAATTAGTAATTTGTGATCAGATTGGGTTAAATTTTCTTTTTTTTTTTTTTTGAGACAGAGTTTCACTCTGTTGCCCTGGCTAGAGTGAGTGTCACGGCATTAGCCTAGCTCACAGCAACCTCAAACTCCTGGGCTCAAGCAATCCTCCTGCCTCAGCCTCCCAAGTAGCTGGGACTACAGGCATGCGCCACCATGCCTGGCTAATTTTTTCTATATATTTTTAGTTGTCCAGATAATTTCTTTCTATTTTTTTTTTTTTTTTTAGTAGAGACAGGGTCTCACTCTTGCTCAGGATGGTCTCGAACTCCTGAGCTCAAACAATTCGCCCGCCTCAGCCTCCCAGAGTGCTAGGATTACAGGCATGAGCCACCACGCCCAGCAGATTGGGTTAAATTTTCTAGATCTTGGAGTTTGCTTGAATATAAGCCAAAGAAATGAAAAGACGTTTGGCTTTGATGAACAAAGATGTAATATCCAGCTTTCCTGCTGGGTCTAGTTTTTGGAAGCAGTGACTCCATTGGCTTCAGCAGAGCAAATACCATCCAAGTAGAACTGGCCTTATTGAAAAGAGCAGACTCTAGCACTCCTCTTTCTCCCCAGCTCACATTTCCAGTATTATTTCTTAGAATACTTTTGGAGATTTAAAAAAAGAAAGATCAGGATTCATGTATTAGGAAGGCTTCTTTCCCCAATTTACCATCAAAAAAATCATACAAACCAATAAACGTAAAGCACACTCTAGTCACTTTTGACTGCCTATTTTAAGTAACTTCATCTTCCATTTGATGGACTATTATGCAACTATTAATTATATATTTTGAAAGAATGTTTAATGACACAGGAAAATATTCTTGTTATAATGCTGAGATGGAAAAGGGAAAGAAATATTTTGTATATCTAGTACAATCCAAATTGTGTAAGAAAAAAGCTGTGGTAGAAGGAAAAAAATTCTTCATATCCTCGGTAGTGGTTACTGGGTAGGAGGATGATGGGTGACTTTTAAATTTTAAAATAGAGACAAATTAATTGTGAGGATGATGTGTGGACCTGCTCCTTGGTTAGGGTTAACAATCATTAGTGAACAGATTCACTGGAAACCATGGGGAGAGGGGAGACAGCCAAAGTCAGGGACAGGGGTGTGCAAAGCCCTGTCTTATGCAACACTTCCATTCCCATCCTGGATGCCTTCGTGATATTGTTTGGTTCTGTTGATCCTTTGTGCCATTTATTGCTCCTGGTTATTTAAAAATGAGACATCATTGTCGATACGCTTTCCAGCTTTCCCTTCGGGTTGGAACTACTCCAAGGTCAGTTTGCCTGACAGCAGGAGTTGGCTTCCTTTCTACTCCAGTGCTCATGCCTTATTTGAAGCCTCAACCCCTGCTCTATACACTATGGTCCAGCTTTAAGAAAATCAACTGTGAGAATATGAGGGCACCTTAGTGAAACCGTCAGTAAGGAATGCGAAACGCCCCCTGGTTCTGCATATGTGGCCGGTCAGTCAGAAACATCCAGCATTTGTCCATGAAAAGAATGTTCAAGAGCTAAATAGTAAAGTTATATAGGAGGCAAAACTAGCTCTTCAAAATTAAAATGTCATCGTGCTCCAAGCTGAGGGCTTGCAATGTCTTGGCATCTGGAGTTAATCATTCAGTCCCTTGAGAGTTGTTTTAATGAAATGTTTACTGAGCTCTTGCGAATGTTCATCTGAGTGCTTTGCCAGGATTTGGCTTCCGATAATTTTGTTTCTTCATACAGAGAAGCACAGCTCAGTAAAAGAGAGCTTCCGCTATGCAAACCTTACATGCAGCTCCGGCAAGCAAGTCCCAGGAGCCCCTGGCCGACCAAGCGCCTCTAAGGAAATGTTTATCACTGTTGAGTTTGAGCTTGAAACTAACCAAAAGGAGGTGACAGGTTGGTTTGAAAACAGCCTACGTTGCCAGGCTTCTCACAGCTTGCTCCTTATTTCTTTGCTTTTCACTTTTAATCACTCTTGGGGAAAAAAATAGTACAAACACTGAAGTATCTCCTGTTTTTTTTTCCACCCCCAAACTAAACTGAATTGGTTTGGAACCTCATGATTTTCTCTACTTCGTAAAAACCCAAAGCTACCATTTTGATCAAAACAAATTTCTGTTTGAATCAAATGCTGCCCAGCCTGCCAGGTGCCCACCTCCAGGTCTCTCCCCATTTGGTCCACAGGGAGTGGGGTGTTGGTGGGTCCTGCAGTTGGTCTGGCCATCATCACACCCACCAGCCTGACCTCCTCCTGCACTGCTGTCCCTCTTGTTTCCACAGCTTCCTGTGACCTGAGCTGCATCGTAAAGCGAACGGAGAAGCGGCTCCGGAAAGCCATCCGCACGCTCAGGAAAGCTGCCCACCGGGAGCAGTTTCACCTCCACCTATCAGGCATGGACCTCGACGTGGCTAAAAAGCCTCCCAGAACATCTGAACGGCGGGCAGAGCCCTGTGGAGTGGGCCAGGGTCACGCAGAAAACCAGTGTGGTGAGTGGCCTAGGACATTCTTGCTAATAGCAATGCCTTGGGCTCTGTAAACACTCGGGGTAATCAAAAGCAAGCCTGGCCCATCCTCCCTTCTCCAGGATCACTCCAGAGAACACTCTGGACAGCGTTTCTCATTAAGTACCTGTCACGTCGGTGTCTGCTGTGCTCACTAGTCGCAGAGCTCCTCAGGGCCGAGATTGATCCCATTCACCTCTCTGTCCTCAGCGCCTGGCACAGTGCCTGGCTTGCGGTGGGCACTGAAATGAGTGTGTGTTGAATCGAGGGACAGGAAGGAAGAGACAGGGTGGATGAGAAGAGGGAATGTTGCCCTGTAAGGGTCCGAGGGATGGTGGTCTTCAAGTACTGTGTTCCCTGGCTGGGGTGGGACTGGAGGTAGAAGGCGCCTGGGAGCCTTCTGAACCACGGTCCATTTTTACAGCTCCTCTTACAATCTCCCTCCGACTTGCCCAGTGGTGACAAAGAACAATCTCTTGCCTGTAGCTTGATGCAGAGGCAAAGCTCAGGGGCTGCTCGGCTGCCTTGTGAGATCCCTGAGCGTCAGCCAGGCTCTGAGTGGTGTCGGTTCTGCTATATGTTGTTGTTGTCATTGTTGCCGTGTGTTTCAGAATTAAATTTGAGATCTGGCACTTGAGCAATATCCATTCTGTCCCTCTAATAAAGCTGGCGAGAGGTTCCAGGGCAAGAGGTTCTAGGGTGGTCCGTTTAGAGATTTGTTTGTCACGAGAGACTGTTCTGGGTAGTAATGGGAGGCTCTACCTCAAAAGTCTTAGATGGGGAAAACTGGGGTCTCACTTTACAGTCATAATGATAATGATTTATTGAGTTTTTATCTGTCACAGCGCATCTGCATTTTCACATTTAATCCTGACAGTAACGTTACCAGGGAGGTGTTATTATCTCCATTGAACACATGATCAAACTGAAGCCCAGAGGGCTACGTTCTCTTGCTCAAGATCACATTGATGGTCTAATTCCAGTCTGTGCTCTGGTCCCAAGTAAGGTGAATTTCAGTAACCAGACCCCTTCAGAGCAAATCAATGTCCTTTCTGAAGTGTCGGTAGAATCGCAAGGCCCAAGAAATGAAGCTTAACTAAGGAGTAAAAATTCGTGTTTTTGAATAAGCAAAGCTGAACCAAGAGGCACTTGATGCAGAAAATCGTCAGCAGTAGCCCCACAGCTCAAATCTGTTGCTTTGCCAAAACATAGAGAAAAATCAAGTGTAACTGCGCACAAAGGGCTGGTTTCCAGATAGTCTTGACTTTTATTTCAGCTGATTCTCTTAAAAAGAAACAAAGAAAAAAAATTAAAAACAACTCAGCTGGTTGATTTGTTCTCATTTAAAATTCTAAGAGTTCCAGTTTTCATACTAAAACAGTGATGAGAGTTGGCTGTTGCTGCCCTATGTCCCGGGGAGAGTTGAGGAGACCGTCTGGGCACGCAGGCAGGCTGGTCCTCCTGGCCTCTCAGGGCTAACTGTACTGTCCTCCGTTTGCTATGCTGTTGGGGTGAGGCCTGCGGGCTCACCAGGGAGTCTTTGTGGCCAGGGAAGAAATCAGGAAAACCTAGGGTTAAGCTGCCAGTTGGAGTATTACTAATACTACCATGAATCTGCTTCTGGGGTATAAAGGCCCAAGGATAAGGAGCAGGAGTTACTTAACAGAGGCCTCCTGACGGTGACAAGCTATGAAAGACACTCAGTAGAGGGTTTATGTAGCTATTGTGGTGTGTCATGTGTCCCTGAGATGCTTGTCATGCTAAATTAGGTTGGATTTATTTCTAAGGGAGGCAGTGTGTCTTGTCTCAAGAGTTGGATGAATTTTACAGCCCACATGGACCCAAATCAGGTCTGCCCTGTCTGACAGCCATGTTGAAGATGTTACCATGTAGACAAAACAGCACAAGGAATTACCAGTGACATTCCTTCTTCCTGCTGGAGGGAGGAAGTGGGTATCAAGAAGGGTCAGATGTGTTAATGAGGAAGGGTTTTTACTCAGCAGGCACATGGCATGGGCCAAATCCCAGACTCTGTGTGTGTGGGCGTGTCTTGTATTTCTGTTCTATTTGATGGTGTTAGAACTAGGCTCATTGGTGTTTTCTGAACTCTGGATGGTACATGCAGTGATGACAAACATAGGATAGTTCTTTTTAGAAATTATTTTCAGTGTCTGCTGAAAGGAGCCCCATAAAAATGGAGTCACCTTAAAGGAGAGATGGACTCATTATGGTTTTCGTTCGTTTGTTTGTTTTTTGAGATGAGGTCTTGCTGTGTGTCCCAGGCTAGAGTGCAGTGGTATCATCATAGCTCACTGCAACATCAAACTCCTGGGCTTGAACAATCCTCCTGCCTCAGCCTCCCGAGTAGTGGGGACTACAGGCTAATTTTTTCTATTTTTAGTAGAGATGGGGTCTCACTCTTGCTCAGGCTGGTCTCAAACTCCTGGCCTCAAGTGAGCCTCCTGCATTAGCCTCCCAAAGTGCTAGGATTGTAGACCTGCACCACATTATGTTTATCTTTTTAAATATTTTTAATTTACTTTTCAATTACAAAAGTAGTGCATATTTCAAATGGTACAGAAACAAATACAGTAAAGATGAGATTTCTCCCCATAGCTCACTAATCTCACTACACAGCAGTAGCACTGTTATGGCTTGCTGTATATTTTTCCACATCAGTATTTATGCGTATGTAAAAATTAAATTTTATTTGTTCATTCAATAAATATTTATTGAGCACCAACTGTGTGTTAGGTACCATTCTAGACACTGGGAATCCCGCACTGAGCCAAATAAGCAAAAATTTCAGTTTACAATTGTAGAGAAAGAAGATGGATAACCAACCAATGACCAAGGAAATATATCATGTGGCAGATGGTGATACGGGTGTGGAGAATGGAATAGAGAGTGCCAGGGCAGGGTGAGGGGTGAGGAGGAGCGTACTCCCCTAAAATGTAGACTGTGGTCAGGGAAGGCCTCGTTGCAAAGTGTCATTTGAGCAGAGATGTAAAGATCGGGGGAAGCAAGCTATGGGGATATCTGGGGGAAAGGAGTTTCAGGCAAAGGGAACAGCAAGTACGAAGCACCCGAGGTATTGGAAGGAAAGTCAGAATGATGAGAGCTGAGGGAGGGAGGGAGAGTGAGCGAAGAAGAACTCAGTGAGGACTCAGAGAGAGAAAGGAAGCCAGGGGAAGTGGGGGTGGAGGGACAGAGGTTTGAGCAGAGGAGTAACAGGGTTCTGACTCATGTTTTAAAAGGATAACTTTGGCTACTGTGTTGAAAATAGACTATAAGTTTTTATGTGCATGAACATATTTTTTAAAAATATATCAATACAATTCGAATAGTGCTATGTGCTGTTTTTAACTATGGAGTAGATCAAGGACATCTTTCCATGCTAATCGGAGAGCAACGTAATTTCTTTTACAGCTTCATAGTCTGTATTTGTTTTAAGACACAAGTATTTATTAGCTCTACTGCTATTGGTGGACATTGAAGTTATTCCAAATTTTTAAATTACAAACAGTGCTATAATAAATATCCTTCTTTGTGCACATGGCCAATATTTCTGAAGGATAGATTGTGCAGGTATGATGGCCAGGTCAAAGAACATGCATATTTAAAGCTTCGATAGATATTGCCAAGTTACCCTCCAAAAAGACCATAATAATGTATACTCCTTCCAACATTGTATTTGAGCATTTATTGCCCACATCCTTACTAAATGGATTATTTATCATTGATCCTTTTAATTTTTGTAAATTTGATAACCAAAATATAAGAAAGTCATTTTAAGTTGTTTTTCTTTGGTTATTAGTAAGACTGAGCATGCTGTCCTATGTCTGTGGTTATTTGGATTTCTTCCGAGAATATCCAGGTTCTTTGCCTATTTTTCCAATGAACTATTTGTCTTTTCAATGTCATTTTTAAAAAATAAATTTTAAAGCCCCAAGTTACACCAAAGAAAGTAATCACTTTTGACCAACTGTAGATTTTCTTTCTTATTGTCATTTTTACTTAGTAAAGTCTCATTAATTTGGCATTTGGGGACTTTGGGGACAGCCTGCTCTGCTAGTGACCTTTGCACCATCTGTGATCAATTTTAGCAAGACAGAAACAAAAAAGTGAGTATATTCTCCAAGGAACAAATTCCTTAAGCTCCATAGTACTTCATAAAGTCCTTCGTGTCTTGAGAAAAATTATACGTGACATGGATTTCCAGCCATTATACTTTCATAATACCAGCTAAAAGATAAGTTATTTAAGAAATATACTTGATAATATGTCTATTTTTTATATTTGGTTGTTTTTAAAACTTGCTGAGAGTTTTAGAAGACACAATTCAGGCAACTGGCAAACTGGGAAGTATTTTAGTGCAGGGTTTGTGAGAGACTAGGAAAGTTGAATTCAGTTTTTAACAGCAGTGGCTGTCCTCTGCAGCCATTGAGAAAAACCAATTCAACCGGTGTTAATCAGGATCCCACTCTGTCCACTCTGTGCTTGGGATGAAGCAGTGAGAACACAATGAGCAATAAAGTTTTTATGAAGTACACGTTCTGACAGAGGGAGATGGAAATAAAAAGGTAAAGAAAAGCGACAACTTCAGAAGTTTAATGAAGATAATAACAGAGGAAGGGTTACTCTCGTAGGGTGGTCAGGGGAGGCTGTCAGAGCAAGTGACGTTTGGGGCGTGAGCAAGTAGAGCGAGACCACGTGCAGGCTCTGGTGTGGGTGCGGGCACTCTGATGGTGGGGGGACCAGCAAATGCAGAGTGCTTGAGGCAGAAATGAGCTGGGCATTTTCTTCTTAATTCTTTCACAATTGGGAAATTATTCGTAATTGGACAGGTAGATATTTCCTTTTCTGTTTAAATTGAGGAAAATATAAAGTCTATATTAGCACAACAGACCAGTATTAGACCATTATTTAACACATAGACTGGATAAGAAATTCTATTCATTAAAAAAGGTTTGAAAACATAATTT